CATTATAATAGTGACTCTTCGGTAGCAATCATTTTTATGGATTCTGGCTGATTCGGATCCGATTCATGAGGAATTCGGAATCAGTGTTGAATTGATTCTTAAGCGATTAATAATCGATGAAAATCATACACCTTTTAATCGATTATTAATCGGTTTAGAATCGATTAACATCAAGCTTAATCAATTTTAATCGGTTAAAAGCAGCAGAACAACATTTTGTTGATTATAATCGATTACGCATGATTTTATACGATTTTTAATCGGTTATTAATCGATTAAAAGGTGTATGATTTTAATCGATTTTTAATCAAAATTTAATCGATTATAATCTGATTTTTTCCCCTTTTTTTTTACATGGGTACCACCCAATATACTTGTCGATTTACGAACCAATAATAAGTCCGGTACCAACTGCCAGTCAGGATCAATATCAACAATGAAGAATGAAGCAGTGTTTTTCGTACTATCACCATTTTTGAACAATGTCAGCGAACGATATGTGCCATTCATTGTAGGCGAATAAATATATTCAATATTGTCCCACGCAAAATCATTCGAATAAGTGACACCAAGTAGAAAACTACTTTTTGATGGTAAATTGTAATCAATAATAATTGCATTAATAAATTCAGATACTTTACTAGCTGGTATATCGATCACTTTGAAAGTCGATGAGTTCTGATGGAAATATGTAAAACCGAATCTAGTAAGTCTTGTAATGGTCGTAGAAGTAGTTGTCTTTAATGCGTCTGCAATATCTTTCCACCCTTTCGCCATGACTGAAATACCTTGAGCTAAAGCAGTTATTGTTATAGCAGCATTCCGTGATCTGTAACCTGAAATGGTCTTTATATATCGCTTTTCGGTGAAATTACTCTAGGATTGAAGTAAGATAACATTCGATGTTTTTGTGGAACAAAGACTGTCGCACATATGAAACGTAAAATATTTAATGCAATGTTTGTCGTTTTCATTTCCCACGGTGTAATGAACGTTGATAAATGTTCAGGCAAAAATTGACCATCATCCGTTAATATTGATGTACGTACGATGTCCAACTTTTTACTACTATCATCGTTGCTGCTTCTATTATTATATAACAATGTGTCGATTAGTGCTCGCGAAGTGATATTTAAGAAAAGAAGATTGATTGTATATGTAGAATTTTGATTATTTTGGCCGAGTATCCAGATATATTTGATCGTGACACGTGTCGTATCTTCGTTATCATTTCGAGATGTAAATAGTTTTTCGTATGAGAATCGTGATGATTGCAATTGTTGTGAATTAGAAATATCGTTGAAATCGTAGTAATCGACTAGTTCTGTTAATACTTTACCAACATTTTGATATTCAACTTCTGTTAATTTCAAAGCTTGGCTTGAAAGTTTCAGTGATGTGATATTGGATTGTAATGCTGTTAAAATTGAATCATTGTATGATGTCAATACTTCAGCTTTCACATTATTGTTTGAAAGATAATTTTTGATAGCTTCAGTTAAACTAGTACCATGATTGCTATCCCCATCACTAACTGGCAGAGAACGTTTCACCAGACTGCTCAATGTTCGTTCATTGAACCACTTAAATTGATCGAATGACATTTTTTGCTTGACTATGTTGAGTTCTTCCGGTGTAAGACCTCGCTCGGCATAATTTTCTCGATCGCGTTTGCAACAACATTCCGAAACACATACACAGTCAAGGCATCGGAAACATCTGTCGGTATAATATACTGTATATAATTTTTTGATTTCTGCCTTTGTTTTAATTGTAACATAGGTCGTTGCCACTGATAAATTTGAATTGGTTGGTGAATCCATTTTTCTTGCAACAATCAATAGTGTTGTTAATAAGGCGCCTGATTGAGTGTTAAACGTAAATGCTTGGGCTATATACGAGCCTTCAGTTGCAGCTGCTATTAATATTTTCACTTTGTCAACTGCGTCTGCACGAAATTCTTCCGGAATGAACCAACTTGCAATTACAGTAGCAAGCGTGGAAATTCCAACTTGAGCCTGTCCAACTGACCCATCTGTTATTGGAGTGTTCATATAATCGTTCCAGTTAGCTGACGTAAATAAAATCTATATGTGGCGTATGATGAATAAAGAATAAAATCTTACCAGCGGATGATACATTTAATATTTGTGTTGCTTGTTTTATCGGAGTAGATGTATCCAGAGATTTGGCACCAAGTCGTATTATTGGTGATGTGTAGAATGTGGTGCATACCACCACCGAATGCAATATCAACAATATAGCGGACGTTTCTCTCATCTTTGACCTGAAAAATACAAACTACCTGCAAACGAACTTTGATTAAGCCTCATTTTGTTCCCCATAAAATTGTCTTGGACGAGAGAACATTCTCAATTGAACTTCAGTATTCTGGCATTCTTATAATGCTAATAGCGGTTCCAGGATCTGCCGCTCTCCCTGTATTTGGTTTCATGAATTCTACCAAAATTTTTGTGGTACTTTGAGAAGCATCGAGTCTGTTAATAAGAATATTATCAGGTGAAAATTTCCTCAAATGAGTTTTTTGCATTACTTTTCGATCAGTCGAAACTTGTTTTGAGAACGAGGGTAAGCGTGAGAGTGGGTAAGGTGGGATGGGTAACAGGGACTCTATGACGTTTTCTAATTCCCTCTGAGTTCAAAAAAACAAGACTCAGAATTTTTTGCGACGGGATGGGATGGCAGGGCTAGAAAAAAGAAAGCGTACTATCTTCAACATCCGTGATCATCAACTCTTTATAGATCAATATCATTAGTTTAATCTAGAGCCCATCCATTATCAGCACCCACACCTGTTCAACAGCACAGTATGTCTGAACTAGGGATGTACCGAGACTGATGGTTCCTTAATAAAGATGGGAATTTTTCTCCAATACGAATTCCCGAGACTACGAGATTTTTATCTAGAGTTGCTCAACTTGATTTGATTTATGTGTGCATATAACTGGACAGATCGATTTCCAACGTAAAAGGTTGAGTCTCGGTCAAAAGATTGAAAAAAACGGAATTTTGACCGAGATTGACCGAGACTCGGCCTTTTACTTTCGGAATCGATCTGTCCAGTTATATGCACATATAAATCAAATCAAGTTGAGCAACTCTAGATAAAAATCTCGTCGAGTCTCGGGGATTCTTTTTACAGAAAAATACCTATCTTTCTTAAGGAGTCTTCAGTCTCGGTACATCCCTAGTCAACGTTCTTGTTTCTTTATGTTTTATATACCATTTTGTAGCTCGTGAAATTCTCTACCGAATGGTATATAATAGTTGGAGTTTTAGTTGACTGTGATAGGAAAAGTCTTTTACGAAGTGGGAATGGGTCGATCTTTCCATACGGAAGGTGTAGGGAAAAATGAGTATTTTTGCAATAACTCAGGAAGGGCTCGGCCAATCCTTCTCATCTTCGAATTCGACCGAGATATTGTTGAGACTAAACTGTGTAGAAAATTTCGTCGCAATCGGACTCTCCTTTCAAAAGTTATCGTGTAAACGACCGGACGTACGGACGGACATACTGACCGATTTTAGAGTGTACTCACTTTTTGAGTACACAAAAATAGTCTTCCCCTATATTTGAAAGAAAAATCCTCTGAGATGCTGTTAGATATGCGAC